AAGGAAAATGCCTGTGTCTGTGAGATTGTAGGTGTGAGAGAGCGTGCAAGGGAAGTGCGAGAGTGTGCGAGGGTGTGTGAGTGCGATAGGCATGGCGGGCGGAGTGTGTGAGGGGTGTATGGCTGCATCCGTATGTGACTGTAACTGTGAGAGTTTGTGAGTCTGGGACAGCGTGTAAGTGTGTTAGGGATGCATATGACATGTTAGTGTGACTGAAAGTTTGTGGGCCAGGGGGACTGAGCATGTGGGTGTGGGGGGGCGGGGAAGGGTGTCTGTGGGTGTGTACTGAAGATCATCTTGTAGAGGAGCAAGCCATGCACAGAGAAACGTTTTTTGTACCAGAAGCAGTGCTGCCTGGTAGGTTATGGAAAACATCAGCTTGCTGTCTCCCGCACTGTAACCCAGAGCTGTCCCTTGCAAGGCACTCTCTGGGGGAGCAGCAAAGCTGGTCCATGCCACAAGCCAACTGTACAGGTGAAAAGGCAAGATCCAGAAAATTAAGCAGGCCCAGAGCTCGCTGAGGTGGAGGCTGGCTGCATGTGGACTCGGCCAGGTGGGCTGGACGGGCAGCTCAATGTGTGGGACTGGGAGAGGTTTTTCAGCAGCTGGGATTCCCTGGGAGGATCCCTCCTACCTCCCTCCGTGCTGGCAGAGGCCATTCCCGGTGACTCACCTCCATCTGCCAGGGAGGAAGTGGTAGGAAAAGACAGCTGTAGTCAGGGAGTGATTGTACCGCCATCCCACAACCCTCAGCAGGTTTGTGACCTGCTAAGCCACCTAGCTTACACCAAATCTGGAGCCTCGCTTCCTGACACCTGCATGTCCTAAAAAGCAGGGACTAACTTTGCATCTGCTAAAGTGCAAGGTAAAAGCCATAAAATGCCTTTTTTTCCAGCGCCCAGGCGCTGTTGCTGAGCTGAGCTGTGCAGAGCTTTGCTCTCTGGCAAGGCTGCAATTAGATGTGCTTAGTCAGCCCCCTCCAGCAACAAGCTCAGTGAGCATTGCATTTTGGTTCCCGGGGAAAGTTCCTTTTTGGAGTATTGCCAGGAAAAGCTTACACTGTTTCTTCTTTTTTTGGAGAAAGCTTAATAATAAGAAGAAAAAGAAAAAAAGAAAAAAAAAGAAAAAGAGTGCCTACAGATCTAGGTTGGTCTATTTTAGTCTGACCTCTCCTGAAACCATTACTCTGCACATTCGGCTGACTGTCATCTCCATCCAAAAATAGCCCTGCTGGATTCCCAGTCTCCCATGCAAGTCCTTCCCCATTTGACTTCCAGCCACAGTAAGCCGTGCTATGCTATTAAAAAAGGCGCTGAATTTGAAAGCTGGGTGCAAAGTCACTGCTAAAGACACAGGGCGAGCACCCAGCCGGCATGCCTGGAGGATTCCTGTAGGTGTAGAAAGGGGGAAATCAGTGCCAAAGCACAGCCAGTGCTTGTCATCTCAGCAGCTAGCAGGGGGTCTTGCATGCTCCCAGACCTTGAAAGCTTTCTTGCTGCACCAAAAGTTTCCTCATTGGACTTCCCACAGATGGCTTCACCCCAAGCTCCCTCTGCGGCCCTGAAAGGCCATACTGCGTATGGTACAAGCGTAGTTCATAACACTATGGTAGCACCTCAGACCTTGCCCTGTTGATTCTCCAGACATGCACCCTCAAATGTCCCCATGGACAGGGCTGCTCAAGCTGGAAAAGATGATGACTGTGGCCTGTTTAGTTTGGGGTTGCTGGTCCCTGGGTGGCCAGCTGGCTCTGTGTTGGGTGCTGTACTCCTCTGGCTATGCCCATGGCTCCTCCTCACCCACCCTGTTGTATAATGAGACATTCCTGGACCCACACACCCAAGCCCTCTCACAGGACCAACAAGCCACTGTTGCCTGGAAAGGCCAAGCCACATTTGTGCTACCAAACAAGACAGGACTTGGCATCGGGCACTGTCCCCTGATCAGTCAGGCTGTTGAATCACTAGCACGTTCTGGCACGGGTTTTGGCCTGTGCCAACGAGTCCTGTCCCAGGCATGGGATGAGCACCGGTTCCCAAGAGGCAAGGTAGAGGAGGCAACCCCATCTGGGACCAGAGGAGGGAGGAAGAGTGTTTAGTCATGAGCTATACTGTGCCGCGTACCCTTCAGGCCAGAGGACGGGCTCTGGCCCACTTTACCTGCTAGTATAGACTTGCCGTAACGTCGGCATGTGGTTGCAGAGGCTGGTTTGTCTGTGCGATGCCTGGTGCTTCAAGATGCCTGGTGCTTCAAGATGGGAGGAAGGCCAGGCAATCTGGTTCCACTCCGCATCGCCCCTCGCTATAGGACATGCCTGACTGCCCCATCCTAGCCCTGCCTGCAGCTGAATCCACACCTTGCCCCGGCCGCTTCCCCTGGCATACACACATCGTTAGTGCAGGTGCCTGCGCAAATCAGGCAGTTTAGCTGAACGGGGGAAGGTGTGTTTATTGCCCGTAGCAGAGCTGGTCTTCACTCCCCAAGGAGTTATTATGAAGGAGGTGAAGGAAGTGCTTATTTTAAAAAGCTGGCACTGGTGAAAGCCAAGGACACCTGGATCTTATCCTCCGTTTTGTTCCCCTTGTTTTTGATTTTGCCAGAGACAAGCCAACGCAGCGATTGTGGCTTGTAAATGAGGTGTGGCTGTGACTTGGCTGGAGCATGGATCACAGCAGTGATCTATATTTAGATCATTCGTTTCTTGCCAGATGAAGTAAAATATTAAAAACAGCAGCTTAAATAAATACAACAGAAAAGGCACCACAGGAGTGAGCTGAACAGTGACCCAGTTTACATGGCCACATATGTAGGAAACAACATAAGATTTGAGTTGCAGAAGAGAGGCCTAAACAGTATCTCAGTAAAAGTCCATGATCTTCCCAAAAGCAGGGACCAGAGGCTCGAGGAGAGCACACTTGGCCACAAGATTAATGCTCATGCCTCCCATCACAAGCATCTTTGATTCTGGGTCTGCATCCTACACATTCAGACAGAGCAGTGCCTGGAACCTGTGACTACTATCTCAGGCTCAGCAGAAGGACCCTGAGAGGATCTCACGGGATCATCAGTGTCCTTCATGTGACCATGGTGTCCAAGCAAAATGCTCGCAATTTCACCTGACACCCCCTCCCAAGATTGCTTTCATCGGGGGCTGGATCCTATAGAATGGAGCAGTGAAGATCTGCCAAAAGATTTGCTGTCACAGCTCATTCTCAAAGCAGCCCTAGCACCAGTGCTCCTGGAGATGAAGGGACTGAAACCAGAGCTCCCATCCTGCAAGAGTGGGAATGTAGCTCTTTTCCTGTGGGTTTACGCTGGACAAGGGCCAGGGGAGTTCTGCGGGGGCTTTGACACAACCTCAGTGAAGACAAATTTTCTCATTTCCTTGCTTCTGTGAGCCAAGGACAAGGCTGTGTTCCCCTGAAGCACGGGTGACATTTGGGGGAGAAAAATGTATAACCCAGACTGCCTTTCACTAAATCGCACAAGAAAATAAAAATTACCCTGATCCTCCCCCTTCCACCTGCCTTCTCCTCCCTCCTCCCCAGGAATCCCTTCATGCCACATCCAGTTATGCTTCATTTACCAAGCCATTACACTGAATATTTGGCTTTCTCCACATCTGAGTGGGCAGGTTCTCCCTCGCTTTGGTCTTCAGGAGACAGGGAATGCTTTGAAGCTGAGCCAGGGGAGAAAACTGGCACCGCACGCTTCACCGTGTAGTAATTGGGAGGAGATGCATGTCCTTCTTGCAGGAGCTCAAACTGACTCCACTCTCTTTTTCTTTCTTGTTTTCTCCACCTTTCAAGGAACTCATTGAGGTTGACAGTGAAGTGGTGTTTGAACTGGCTGCATACATCTTGCAGGTAAGCACCCGCCTTCCCTCACTTCGTGCTTCCTTGTGTTGCGTTAAATCTCTTGACTTGCCAAACCCAAAATGGCTTACAGAAGTGGAGGGGTTCACCCACTTGCAGGAGAAAGATGTCTTTACACAGTTTTCCTCACTTACACCAATGCAAAATAGATACAGAAGGCTCTCAAAACCAGACCTCACCACGCAGGGAGCGGATTCCCCTGCCTAACGTTTCGCATACGTAAATGCGTATTATGTTTGCACCAACACAGATAGCCAAGACCCTGGGGTACGATGAAAATCTAAGTGATGAAAGCAATTTTCTAGGTGAAAGCCATATGGGTTCTTCTCCAGTGGCTTTCCTTGCATTTGTTTTCCCAGTGGAGCTTAGCCCTCTGATGATCTCTATAAGCTTCTATATATGCAACTGTCTGTATTCTCCAAGGTGGGCAGAAAGGCTTAAAGACTTTCCAAAAAACTCCAGAAAAAAAATTGTCTTTTAAAGTCCTGCTCCTCAGGAAGAGAGAATGCGGTTAGAGAGTGAATTACCAGCAGCTTTTGGTAAATCTCTGGTTCCCAAAAAGGAACCATTTCAGAGTAGCGGAGGTGTTTTTTGTGAATGATCTCTTTTTAGGAGCATTACTGCGGGAGAAGATCAGAGATAATTGTCAGATGATTCTTGTTCCCCTTTCGTACAGTGTAGTTTTCATTTTTTTTCCCGTCAGCCATGAAGCTGTGAGGAGCCATGTGAGCAGAGAAGCCGTCTCATCAGAGCGCACTAATAAATAACAATGCATTGCACTTCTATAGCACTTTCCATGTTAAAGAAGCAATTAGTGCGTAGGGATTTGAATCTTCATTAAAATCGTTTTATGTAACAAAAGTGGAGCGAGAGAGTCAGGATGGGGGACTCAATTAAAAGCACATTATAGAAATTGCATATTGGCTGTTGGGGGAATACACATCAAACAACAGGCTCATTGTGCGAAGCAGCAATAGGGTTATGAATCTATTGTCTGCTCATCCTAATGAATAACTTGAGCGCTTAGTAATTGTACAGCCAGATCCAGATCTGCTGCCACTGTAACCTCAGTTGCTGTGATTGTTTCTCATCACAGACAAACACAGGATGTTACGTGTGTTCCTGTAGTAGTCTGATGTGTAACTTAATGAAAACAGTCAAAACAAGCCCCACCTCTGCTGTCTGTAACCGGAATTACTACAACCCATGTTTGTGACAGGATCCAAACAAAACAAGAGGGATCATACTGCATTTTGTTCTACTTCTCACTGCAGCATTCAAGTCAAAGAACTGAAGTATGGAGAATCTACCCTACAAAATTATTTTTTAAATTCAGTATGCTCATCCCTGTGCAGGCCGGGGCCTATCTTTTGGGTTTTGCTCTGTGTTAAACTATAATCATGATATGGTTGAGGACTCCTTCCTGTGAACCAGAGGAGAGCTTGTCTGTCCTTCAGTTCACTCAGAGGGAAATAGGAAGATAGTAAAAGACTCTCAGAACTCAAGTGATTTAGTCTGCAGCCATATTTCAGATCATTGTGTAAGCAGAACAAAGTACCACCAAAGCTCTGAGCTTTACCCCAGTCTCAGGACTGAAGCACCACTGGACGTGGGCTGACAGGTTGTGTGGGTGGATGGATGGATGTAAAGACAAAAGACCTGAATGCAAAACCTGGTCCTCCTGGCAGTGGAAACTCCCTTACTGCACAAATTACATTATTGCACTGTGCTTTCTGTGTAGCTGATGGCAAATGAGGTGCTTTAGCATGCATCATATGAAATGTGTATTGTCTATTGAAAATGCAAAATGCATATTGCATCTATTGAGGAGGGGACTCACCAGATTCTGAGGGTTCACCAGATACGCAGTTAGACTGAGGTACTAATCTAACTACAGGAGTGGGACATTACCCCCCCTTTTACCATCAGACTGTGATCGTAATAACTAGAAATATCTGGATATATAAGTAAGGGAGCTAAATACCCCCCCAAACACCCAGCAAGGAGTTAGAGAAACCTGTATCTTGCATCCCCTTGAAAGCTGACAGTGAGCTAGTTTTTGAAAGTCTTATTACTAGAAAATAACAAGAATACTTGTAAAAAGAGTCAGGGGGGTTGCAGTCTCAGAGGTTGCAAAGTCACTGAGACTTCAGAGATCGTCTAGTAATGTAGCATCCACAATGACCCAAACAATTACTTATTTACTAGCAATATTTCCTGCAGCTTCTTGGGTATCACTAGCAGAATGAGGAATCATCTGGCCCTCTATTAGGCAAACCCTTTATTTGTTAATCTGCCCAGCTCACTGCATGTATCATGGCACTTGACATTAGATACTGGTTCCAAAAAATACATGAGGAATCAATTACAATAGGAAATTGCTGCTAAATGAATTTTGCAAATGGAAAATCTTGAACAGCCGTTTTCTTTTTTTTTTTTCCTATTTTAATGGTATATTTTTAATTTTTCTTCCTCATTTTACAGGAGGCAAAGGGAGATTTTTCAAGGTAGGTGAACTTTTTTGCCATTGTGTACTGTGAGAATGAATCTGGTAAAATCACTGTGTGAGCGATGCAACTCAGTTGTAGCTGTGTAGCAACAGGAATGCATTGCTAACATAGGCATTGTGTTTCCTGAAATCATTTCTTCACAAAACACAGCCTTTGACCAGAGCATGCCTTGCAAACAGCATTGTTTGTGACTGTGTTGTTGACAAATCTCTTTATATGTCCATGAAGTTCAGGAAATGGACTAGTCTTGGGAAGGAAATTACTAAGGAAATGACTTTACAATCACTGTTGTAACACAGATCCAGCCAGAGGCAACATTAAAATTCCATCACTAATTGATATTTCAGCTTGAATTTGGACAGAGTTCTCATAATCATAACAATTTTGAGAATGGTTGGTTTTGCTGAATTTCCACTATCCCTTAAGTGAAATCTTCTGACTTGCTGTAAGAAATTCAGAGAGGTGACTGTGCTCAGTGTTTCAGGAAACTCTTAATGAAATGCCCAAGAATTTTCATATAAGTTGACAGTATCTGTCAGTTACTCATTAGTAGCAACAAAGGTCAGATGGCTGTTTGATGCCTCATGTGAGAAACATGGAACTTCTTCATCTGAAGCCCAGGAGAACTGTCTGAGCTGAAAAAATTCACATATTCCATATATTACTTTTGCTGACCTGAATGTGAGTTCAGCTGGAGGACCACAATATCCACTGAAGTTAGTTTCAGGGAAGAAAACAAAGTGTGAATGGGCAGTGAGGCTGAATTGCCAGATGAGCCTGAAGAGGTGTTTTCATCCTGTCAGCACTGAGACACACACCGGCTGTGCACTTATAGGAGGCTGTGAATAACAGGCAGGTGCCGCCTTCTGGTGGACTGGGACATCTATCTAGCTAAAACTGAGACAAATCAGTGAAAAGGAACAAGGCATTGCAAATATTGCCTACCCATCATAGAATCAGAGATGACATAAGGCAACCCTTGCTAAAAGGAAGTTTAAGTTCTGCCTTATCATTTCTCAAAACCTTAATCAACTTGCAAAATCCTGACATGCATCTGACCACAGAAACACAAGCCCAGTCTTGTTTCATTTTTCAGTTCCACCCAATTTGGAATAACTCAGCTATCAGCAGTGTTTATTTAGGGGGCACTGGAGTACATGTGGTTCTTTTACTTTTCAGTCTGGTTTTCCATGCACTGCCAAGTGCTCAGCCCAGAAGAGCTGGACCAAGCAGAGTTTTGCCATTCAAACCTGTGATAAACCACATCTTCCACTGGTTTTGCTATGAAGAACAATATTTAATGTTTCTTAGAATATCTTGGACATGACGAGAACACACCCAGAAAGTGTACATTCAGACTATGAAACACAAAATAGAAAGGAATCAGATGGCTTGTGATAATAGGACTGAAAGCATTTTATCTTCAAGTATCTGTTTCCAGACCAGAAGTAGAAACAGCCGGTGGAAAACATCCATCTGCTAAAAGCTGTTTGATGTCCCTTGTAAAAGGAATGGTTCAGTTTATCACAGTGCATTTCTCTAGGCCACAGAGAGATGAGGAATCTTCTCTGAGAGCATGGAAGATACCTTGACGCATGGTGTTAATGGCTTCCTCCACATCGGTGTGGCAGTCATCACCATCCCCATTAAAACAGCTAGCTCTTAGTCCTTTCCACCTCTGGATCACAGTGGTTTGAAGTGGAAGGGGGAATCCTTACATCCAGGTCAGGCAGAGAACTGGTGTCATAATAACAACTTGCTGACACTGCCAGGGATCTTAATTTATAAATGGGCTTTGGTGGCAAAGCAATCTACCATATTAGTGGAGTTTAAAGCCTATTCTTGGAGGGAGGTAGAAGAATCCTACCCTGACCCTCTATGGTCTAGGAGAAGATTTAGCATCCCCAGGGATGTCCATCTAGCAGCTCCCCTCTAATGTGCACTGACATGGGTTTATGTGCTGGGTAAGATCCAGGTGCTACTGAAGTCAACATGAGGTCACTGTGGTTAAAATTTTGCCTGCTGAGATTTGTGGTTATTCGTATCAGCAGTGTAAAATCTGGGAGGCAAATCAAGCCTGGGGCCAGCAGAGGAACTGCAGATGGAGACAAATGTTCTGACTTCTCTCAGGGCTGAAGTTAGCTTCAGTGTTTGAAGTTAGTTGATGTGGAAATGCTGTTTAAAACAGAAGTGGCTACTCTTTGAAACAGAGAAGCTCTGCAGTTGTGGATGTCTTGCTGCTGAGTTTTAAAGATAATATGTTGTGCATGGTAGCATATATTGCGTGAAGGCTGAACTCTTGAACTCCTGCCTCTTTTTTTGAAGAAATAAGTTAATTCTAAAGGGTTGCATGCTTGGAACGCAGACTCCAGATTTCCCACACCTGTCCTGTCTACTGCCACCATCAGATTTATAGCGTATGAGACTACAAGTTTCTCTTTGGCCCTGATCCAGAAAAGTGCATAAGCACTGGCTTGCTCATTTATAGCGATGGGAGAATTGCTGTTCCCCATGGGAGCCTTCCTATGAGTCGCTGCTGATTGCCTCAGGTGCTGGGATAGCCAATGCCAAATTGTTGCACTTTCAGCTTTCAGTTGGCACCTGCCCACAATGGCCAGAGCGTGATTACCTCTAAACCCCACTACACCCCAGTGGTGGATCACAAGAAGCTCATTCAGGACTCCTGGATGCAGTTGCAAGTCTGCTTTTTTGGGCCTCATGGGAGGTCAAAAAACAGAACTGATCTTACAAACTCTAGCCGTCAATTTTCTACCTCTGTGAACTGCTGCATCTACAATGACAGCAGCTCCCACCGCTGCTTTTGAGGGAATAATCCCATGCCTCAGAATAATAACTGTGCTCACAGAGCTCACCAAAAGGGGCTTATGTGCCATTTCAAGCACACATCCTACACCCTTTGGTAGGGCACCATCATGTATGAATCTCTTCATTAGTGCTGATTCTTTCCACCTTGGAGTTCTGCCTAACTCGGGCATCGCAATGACTGCCCAGTGTTTGGTGAGCCTGGAGACCACATAGTCTGAGTCGCCCTTGTCTGTCTTGAACAAAGATGCCACAAAAGCCCTGACAGATCAGTTTGGTATCTCTAGCGAACAATTGTCTAAGGCCTTTTACATTTCTAACTTGTTTCATTTCAGAAACAAGCCCATCAGAAACCCTGAGCTCCTGAACCCATTTAGATCAACTAAGAAAAATATTTCTCAGTGTTTGCTGTAAATGGCCTGGTCCAGCTCAGTGTTTTGGAAGCCGAGTTGTACAAAGGCCTCATCTCTTAGCTGATACAGATTTTGACAAAGCGAGGTTTAAAATAAAAAGTTACTCTCTGTAAGAAGTTCCTAGTCCTCTGTATTAAAGGAGAATAGTTTTCATGTTATTTAAAAGAATTCCCAAATGCTTTGGCTGACGAGACTGAAAAAGTTTACATTTAGGCTGGGACATACCACTGAATTTAGAACAATTGAGTATCCTTGTTCAGCTGATTCTCAGGCTGAGTAGGACACTTAAGATTTGATCTGTGCTTTTTCATATTAGTTACAAAAGTTTTCACTTCAAAGGCACAGAATCACATGTACAAAGCTCCTAAACTAGTATCCTGCAGACAGATGTGAAGGTTATTAACTCAAGCTAATCTCATTACTAGTAAGAACCTGAGTCACACTTGCTTGGCAGAGCGTGGGCAGGACAAATATCAATTCCTTAGATGAACACAAATACTACGTGTTTGACCCTCTTTAGGCCTGTATAGGGGAAGGAACCAGGGCACTCGCTAATTTTGTTGGGAGCATCACATATTGATAAATAGTTGAGATTTTCCCTCTAAATTAATCCTACTGGGTTTAGAGTCCAATTTGACATTGACCAAAATCTTTGGGAAACTCACACCGAGTTTGCTTTTAAATGTTCAGAATCCAGCTCTTCAACCTTAAACAGCATCTATGTCAAAGCAGCTGGAAATAACCTATACTGATCGTTTGTCCCTCAGTTTGGGGAGGGGAAAGAAAAAACCCTAAGGAAAATAAAAACCTGAACCGTTGCAGCTAGTTCCTCAGGCAGGTTCTCATTGCTAGATTTCTTCCAGTTAAGCAATATGAGACATTTCGACTGAACTCCAAGTATCTCCCAGCAACACATGAAAGAATAACAAGGGAGGAAAGCAAACGGCCAGTTTCCTGTTATGCAGAATTTCACAATAATTTCAATGTTTGGGCAGATGGTATTCTAACATACTTTCAGGCTTACTTTTCTTTCTGTGTAACCAACCAAGTGACATTTAACCAATTAGAATTTATTAAAGGATTACAAAACCCAGGCTGCATTCTTGCAACCTTATGGAGGAGATCCTAAACACTGTATTTCACATTTCACATGGTATAATTTAATCCGAGAATCTCAGACTCTGCATTTCCTCTTGCATTCAGCAGAATGAATTACCATGCTGAGAAGAGTTGATAACTTTAAGCTTCAGTTTAGATTTGTTACTAATCATTGTTATTACACATGCTGGAAAATGTATGGATCTCCTGAGACAACTGTGTATGTAATCTTGCTCAAAATTATTGCAGCCAGTTTGCAAAAACTTGTTTCTCACAAAATGCTTATGAAGTGGCCAGGTAGGCCTTTTAACCCCCATGTGTAGACAGAAATACTGAGATGTGGTAACTAATTTATTTGTCCAAGACTTGTGAAGCACACAGTACCAGCACTAAGACCAGAACTCAGGAGTTCTGTTTTCTAGGTCCATTCTCCAATCAGTCAACGTTATTTCTGGATATCTAACCAGCTTTCAGGATGGATCCCATGCAGATGGCTTCTCCAGTTCAGTTTTCATATTGTTATTCAGTCTTTTAAATATTGTAATTTCCACCATAGTGCAGGAAGGAAGTGGTCTGGAGGACACAGAGAAAGTGTGGAGCCTTCCCCCTGTATATTAATAAATCTATATCAAAAGCACCCTTCCATATATAACAACCGTGGAGGTTGGACACTTTTGAATATAAAATAAATGCAGCACAAGTGACCGGATTAAACAAACACTTTCTAAACACAGTAATAAAATAAACACACTACGATATTTCACTAGAAGGAGTGGGAAAGGCAGTAAGTACAAAACCACTTGTGATCCTGCTGGAAACATTTTAAAAATTAAGGGGTTTGGTGTTTTAAAAGGAGCCAAGAGGAAAGTGACCTCATGGCCACTAGTTCAAATGCAACCTGAGTCAATATTTTTTTCCTTTTTCTTGATCTGACATCCTTTTGGGAGTCTAAATTCATTTATCTTGAGACCAGTCTTGCCAGAAGACTTAGTGAATATATGGACCACAGAATGAAATACCTTTTTGTTCCTGGAAGTGATTACCTGAGATACATTTGGCGCTTTGAAGTTGTGAGGCACTACCTTTACAGTACCTTCTAGGTACTGAACAGAAATGCTAATCCCATCCAACAACATCACTAAGAATGTCTTTTCCTCTGATTCTTAAATGACTTTTTATCACAGTGCAAGCAAGCTTTGCTCCTAACTGATGGAAAAGATGGAGCTGACTGGTGTTAGCCCTTTCTTTTACAGGAAAAAATTACTGATTCAGGCTTTTCCCCAGACTCTCAAAGATAAGTTAGTCACCACTAATCTTGCCCTATTTGACAGTCTTCTGTGCTCAAAAAGTCCCAGAACTTTGGAAATTACTCCCTGTCTTCCCAGAAGAGTTTTGGAAGTTTCTCAACTTCCTTCTACGAGCAGCCACCCTCAAAAAATCTTCACTTGAGGGCAGTGACTGATGCGTGTGCTCCAGTTGTGCTGGGTTCTGTTTTTTTTTTTCCCCAGTTTCTTTCAAGATGTCAAAAAACTCAGTAGGAGCTGAATATGCACGTGCTGTGGAGGAGACATCTCTGGGCAGACCCAGTAAACTCTGTAAATAGCAACAGCTTGTTTTCTAGGCTGTCAGTCACAGAGCAGAGCAGCTAGATCAGCAGATAACACAGAAGAGAGCAGTTTCTTGTTCAGACTTGTGCAGATATTTCCACCTGCCATGGAAGAAAAAATCTGAATAGTTTTTGAGAGTTTGCTCTTTAAAAGGAAGATCTATCTGATGGTCAAATGACCATGAGATTTAGGCAGGAGTGGGTGTTCAAATGCTGTTTGTCAGGAGTCATTTGACTTGGCATATGAGGTGCTACTGAGTGGTTTTCTATGTGCTTAGCATCAAGTGGTTGCCTTAGTCATTTCTTCAAACTGCTGTTTTACACATCTTCACTCTGCAAAATTTGAACCTAATTGAGACTTGGGCATCTCTGTCATAGATTTGTCTTGACTAGAAGTTGTGGTCCTGTTTTAAAACTACTTAATTGATTGTCAGGTAACTACCATGATAATAAAAGCCTGTAGACATACCCAAAATGCCTGCTCCACGATTTATGTTAGTGGTTTACCCTATGGCTCAACCTAGAAATTAACCTGCAAACTCCAGTTAAGGCAAACCCACCTGGGTCTCAGGCAGAGCCTGCTGCTGGGATGTGCAAATGGGGAAATGCCGTGGAAAGACTTTTACAACAACTGAAGCAGTATTAAGTCTCTACAAGCCACCATACAGACTGTCCCAGAGACAAGAACAAAACTCAGGGTGACCTAGCATGTCCAAGGGCTCCTTGGGCCTTTAGCAGATGCTAGGATGGTTGGTCTACAGCTGGGGATGCCAAGACTACCTGTCTGCCTGGTTAATGGCCCTGCTGCCTTACAGGAGAAGCCAGTGGGCTGGGAAATCTGGAGGTCTGGAAGAGGTATCTCTCTCTGCAGCTCCAGACAGCCACACTTCTTGGCAGGATAAAGGGCAGGGTACAAGAAGGCATAAAAAATTGCTATTAAGAAGTAAGCCAATAAACATTAATTCTTTGGCACTCCTCAGTGTCCTGTCTGGCCCTTTTGGCTGTGTATTTCAATGAATGTAAAAGTAACAGCAACACTGCCTTCCTTCCCAAGCCTTTGAGGGATTTTTTTTTCATGTGCACACAATTCCATGTGTGTTTAAAAGTGAGAAGGGAGGCATTTGGAGTTTGTAGGAGAAAATCCCATGGTTTCATTTCATCTGCAAGAATCTGCCTCCCATTTCATGAGTTCTCCCTGCTCGCTGGCATGCAGTGATGCTGCTCCAGCTGGCAAGTGTGGCCACTAGAAGTTGCGGGGAGGAGAATGTTAGCCAAGTGGTTGGGCCTGGTCCCATGGAGGGTTTTGTGTAGCAGGACACAAATTCAAGCTGGAGCTTATCAGTGAAGATGTTCTGCAAAGGCCAGGTCACTGGGGCAAGAGGCTAAAAGCAACCTGTGATGCCAAGAAAGCAAAACATTACTTTTTGCAGCAGGTTGTAAGGCATTCAGTAAAGGTGCTCTATTGCAGCTGAAAGCATCACTTTTTTTTCTCTTCCCCTTGTTTTTTTCTCTGTATGAACATGTCCCTGGGACCCTGCTCAATGAAATGTGACATGGTGGCTTTTGTGTCCAGTCACTGGTAGGAAGTGCTTCAACGTAACCATCTGGGAGAGTTTCTCTCCAATTTTGATAATAGAGGGAAAAGTTAACTGGGCTGCCATAAAACAAATAAAGAGAGAAGAAAAAGGAAACCCCCGTGCTTTTGTTAAGGAGGAACAGATGTAGAGCCGTAGCAGCCTGCCAGCTAGGTCAGGTCATATCAAATATTGTGGTTGTTTTCTTGTAGCCTGATCCTCCTTTTGAACTCTCTTTCAGCAATGAAGTTGTAAGGAATGAATTAAAGAAGCTGCCAGCCCTTCCAACACCAGCACTGAAGGAGCATCCTTCCCTCGCTTACTGGTAACGTATTATTCTGCTGAGCAGCTTCGCAGTGTCTTATGCAGGACCTGGCTCTGGCAATAAGTGATCCAAGAGTGGAACTGGGATGCAGGGACTCCTGCCTTCTAGTTCTGGGTCTGCCACTGACTCACTGCATGATTCAACACAAGCAGAGCTGCCACCCTGGGCCTCAGTTTCCCTGGCTACCAAATGGCTGCAGTAATATCTGGCCAGAAAATTCACTGTAAATGTGCAAGTGTCCTGATGAAATCAAGAGGCCTAATGTGTCATTTCCTTTCCCAGCACTTTGCATCTGTTTTGCACTGCTCTGTGTTATTTTTGAGTGATTGAGCTTCATCTTTCAAGTCCTCTCTGTACAGCATGGCTGAACTAAAGGGATGTACTTCTCCAACTAGGTGATTTTCGGAGGTGGAGGCTTTTGAGCTCTGCCTTTATTGCACTGAAAATTAAATCCAAGGTAGGAGCAGGGTCACAATTAACTTGTGTATGCCCCACACATAGATTCTTTGTGCCACCCTGCTTACCCCTTTTATCTGTGCAAATAGGAAAGAATTTGGGGAAAGACTTTATTAATGGGGAGATGCTTTCACTTGATTTTCTGTTTGTTCCTCTTTCATGTTTGTCTTTAAAGCGTTAGGCTACAAGCCTGGGGGTGGGAGTGAACTTCCTTATCTGCTACTCTCTCTTTTTATTTTGGCATCATGGTAATCTGAGGATAGCACAGGAAAACAAATCAGTTTGTAGTTTATGATCTCAGTTCTTCCCTTTGCCAGGAAGGCCATCCACTTTTCCTAGCATGGCTACAATACCAGGATTAGCTGTACCTGGTGTCAAGCCATAGGCAAGCTACTCTGTGAGGTCTCCTAATCACTTTCTGAGCCGATCAGGAGAGACTCAGAGTCTCAGGCTGAGGTTAGGAACACTTACACAAAAGCTGTGGAGCATCACAGTGTCCTGGTGTTTCTGTCTAAAAATCAAACCAAATCTCTGTGAAAATTTGATAGATGTAGGCTGCCATTTCACTGGAAGAAGAATGGTCTCCCTGGTTGGAGCATCTTCTTCCTTTTTGGACAAATTAATCTACATATTAAAAAATAAGTGCATTTCCAGTGAGGTTGGTGGCCTGGTCTGACTGAAAAACTTGTAGCCCAAGAGGAAAGCCACCACAAGAAGAGTGGTGGCAACAAGTAGCCATGGGCAGGGAAGGCAAATCTGACCCTTCAGCAGCAACATGGACCAAGGTCTTATTAAAGCACCCACATAGCTTTTGCTTCAGTTCCCTGCCATGGTATCTGTCCACAGGAAAGCAGTGATAACCCAGGCTGCCTGTCAGGCCCCATCTGCCCATCAGGATCTGTTTGCCCCCATCATCAACAAGTGTTGGTCAACATGCCTACGCTAGGGACTTCTGCTGGGAAATCTCAGTGGGGTCAGGGACTGCCTCTGTCCGTAAGACACTCTCCTTGGGTTTGGGCTATGTTCCATCACCTGAAGCAAGAAGAGCCATGTAAAAACCTCACACTCAGAATGCGAGTATTTAGTTATAAGCTGGTACAGCACTTCCTGCAGCTGTACTTAATTTTGTGGAAGTTCTCGTGTGACTGAGAACAGGTTGCAGGTTGGGAAGCTGGTTGTTTCCAATGAGGTAATAAAACCAGTGGCTACAGTCCTGTGGCTCCCTTGTGATTTCACTTCAGTAAACAGGTCTCGGAGACCTTTAGCCTGAAGAAGAGAAGACTGAGAGGGGATCTCATCAACACATACAAATATCTCAAGGGTGGACATCATGAGGACGGAGACAGACTTTTCTCAGAGGTGTTCAGCGACAGGACATGGGGCAATGGGCACAAACTGAAACATAAGAGGTTTCACTTGAATATGCAGAAGAACTTTACTTTGAGGGTGACAAAGCCCTGGAACAGGCTGCCCAATGGGGGTTGTGGCGTCTACTATGATACCTTCAGCAAGATACTATGATAGATCTGCATGAAATAATGTAACATTTCCATTGCACACCATGAAAAAGCATCACCTGTTGCTCCTATCAAACATAGTAAAACCAGTGGGATGAGTCCTGGATTCTCAGATGCAGCGAGGGCTGAATCAGCAGAGTTTGGTGCCTCCAGCTCCATCTTTATAGAATCTCCTGGTTGCATACCCTTGCTACAGGCCTTTCCCTTCACTGTTACCTCTTCTTGAAGGTTTTCACAACAAAGGTGAAGGTTGTAGTTTTTATATCATCAAGTTTTTGCTTCCAGCTCTCTACAGACTAAGAAGAATCAGTTGCACAACTTGTTCTCAAGCATCTCTTAGCATCACTGATTACTGTGAAGCAAGAAGGAATTTGGGGTTTTTTTTTTTCTTTTAAATGAAAGCTGAGCTTCTGGTCCTCCCACATAGTCCAGGAACTGGGGCTCTGAGTTTTGGTTTTTCTTGCCCATGCATGGAAACAACTGAAAATATTTATTATTTTAGACACAAAACTAATCACAATGAGACAGGAGAGAACCTGTGTTAGTTCACAGCACTCCTTTCCAGCCATTCTCATTGCATTTTATGTCAATTCAGATCGTCCCCAGCAAGCCAGCCCAGTACTAGGTTGCCAGTAAGGATGCAAGGAGGACATGCAAAGGCACAAAAGTGGGTGCTAGAATGGGATTTTGAACAGACCAAGACTTCTCCCAGGTTCCAACAGACTTTGAATGCAAGCTTTTTTTTAGTAACCTAAAGCATCAGCATTGCCAGAAAATTCACCTCTGAAAGTATCAGCTGAAAATCACTATTTGATTTCTCTAGTATAACACAGACCTGAGGCTCTGATCCTGCTCCTGGTCCCTTTGTCCCAAGAGATTCTCTGCTGGCCTCAGTGGGACAGCATATGACTGCAAATAAAGATGTTAGTAAGTTCAAGAATATAACAAAGATGGACAAAGGTTAGAAACAGAACAACAGCAGCAATGAGTGGACAGCTATTTAAAACAGCTCAGTGTGCTGGGAAGAGAAGGGGGGAACAACTACCTTTGAAAATCTGGATCTGATGATGAGAAACTCTGGCCCCGCATTTGCTTGCAAGTTGTCTGCCGTCCAGTTCTGTAAGCTGCTGGGACAGGAGGGATTTCTTGGTAGTTCTAAAGATCTTTATCAGAGTTGTCGGCTGCAGGATATCATCCGTGTACTAATTTTTACAGCTTTGGGGGGAATGTTTTATGAGCTGGCAAACAGACAGTAGTGCTTCGGCAGCCTCCGTGTCTCCACATTAGTTAAGCATCCTCTGTCAGCCCTGCATTATGAATGAGTTTCTGTGTCACTGGCACAGCAATAAGCCAGAGCAGGGGGAGAGGAGGCATCAGCTGGTGGTCCAGGCAGTGTCCCAGCACTCTCCCAGCTGTCAATAGCAGCACGGCAGCCGCTCAGAGATGAACAGCTGAAATGATAGGGGAGAATGTTTATAAGCTCTGCTAATGCTCCTTCTGACCCGTGAATGATTTTGCTTGTTTTCCCTGGCACATGCTGGACTTATCCCTCTGTCCCAGAGCTGGAGGCAGAAAGTGACCTCTGTGCTGGATGATCCTTCTTGCACAGGGAATGAAAAGGAAGTTCAAAGAACTGTTAGAGGAGCAATTGTCAGGCAGCTGGGGCGAGATCCATCTGACCATGAACATTGCTTCAGTGTAGACCTCTCCATATGAGATAGGTGCCCTCAGCTCCCTTTGCTGTCAGGACAAACTGTGCTCTGGAGTATCTGTTTCTTTTCCCAAAGTGTGACTAGGTCAGTGTTGCAGAAAGGTGAGAGGCAGCAAATTCTACTCTTAAATGTTCATGGCTCTATTGATAATTCAGGCTTTATTTTTTTTTGTCCAAAAGTAGAAACAAGGATGATACTTACCATTTAACATCTATAGACCTCAAAACATTATACAATGGAAAGGAAGATCATCAGTATCCTAATGAGGCAATGGAGGCACAGAGTGTTTTGCCTGCATTTGTTTAGGAGAAGTGGGTAGAGCCTGGTTCCCACATCTTTTAGTATGGGTTAACAACATAACTTTATTTGTCCCACTGTTCATGAAGGCTCCCTGACATCTAATCTGTGCTTTTGAAGGAAATGGGCCATCGATTGGCTTCCCTACTCAAAGGGTATGGTTTGGGAACATAGCCATTATTTTATCATAATAATTTGTAAGAAAGCAGAGCACATCCAGGATCACATTAGGTAATCATCCTCTAGGTAAATCTATCCCTTCCTTGAATTCATCAATATGAGAGCTTGATCTGTACAATAAACTGCGGAGAGTGGAAACCAAAGCTAAGAGCGTTTTCCATTGAAGAAACTCCATTGTTTTCTGAGAAGTCACTCCTGGTTTGTTCCTGTCTGAGACAGAGAGGAATTGCATCCACATGTAATCGTGGGTTTAAGAGGTAATTTCAAAGGGCTGTAAGGCCTCTCTGTCTATCTTTTTTATTAAGAATGATGGGTTTTGGAGATCTTCCAGTACTGAACACTCATGTAATTCAGTTATTGCTCCAAAAGTAATCCTGTTTATGATAATCATGGCAGGAGACCCAGGCTCTGCCTTTATGTGCACACCCATAACATCTGTGGTACTTGCTTGGATCAGTGGGCTGAATATGGTTTCATAGCTGTTGAATTTATAGCTTACAGATCATTTTCTAAGCATTAAAATTATTCTGAGGGATTTGATGGCACAGCTGGACCATTCCTTTACCCATGTAATTTGTCACTGGCTCTACCTGCTGTGGCATGCTGGTGGGACATCACTTCACCTTGACCCAGTAAGAGCCCTTTTATTTTCACAAGTGACCTCTGGGGGAAGTCACTTGGTAAGTGAGTAAGGAAAGCAGTTACTATCAGACAAATGACAGGCTTGTGGGGGAACAGCTGGCCATTCTGACAATCCGTCAGACCGTCTACTTCAAATTGCTCTGCGCTGTCTGCACTGGTGTTTGGTCTTCTCCCTGACTCCCTGCATTACCAGGGATGGATGCATCGTCCTCAGCTCCCCTGTGCCAGGCCCCATGCCCCGTCTGTGCACAGTACATCTTGTTTGTCACGTCACAGTGCAGTTTGTCCTCCTTGTGATGTCACAATACAGAACATCCTGTGTGTGACACCACAGCAGGCTCTGTGTGGCCTCTACTTGTGACATCACTGAGGGCATTATGAAGGCTGTGCCCAGAAGGGGCAGAGGAACTTCTTTCTAAAAAAGATTCTGGCTCCATGCAGATCTCTCTGGCACAAGGATGCGTATGGGGAAGGCAGCAGTGAGAGGCACAGTCGTGTTAGCAGGGCTAGTGAAATGCTTTGCAGTTTTCCAGGGAAGTCCCTGTGGGCATCTCTGAGCAGTTGCGATGAGGTCATCTATCAGACCATCCCGCACTGCTGTGCTCCTTTGCACTGTCTAGCAATAAAAACAGCTTTAGTTCTGCCGGGGGAAGCATTTCTGCATGGTGGGCAACCATGTGGCTGCCTTTAAAGGCCCCATTAGGGGCCTCAGCTGGACCTAGGAAACGCAGGCAGGGAGGAATGCCAGTTCACGTTGGCCTAAACTGCACGCAGCCTGATGGCATTAGACAGACACTCGGTACTACGGGAAGCTTATGCAGTGCCAGGTGGGGAGAGCACAAAGGTGGCATGAGGGTAGTTTAGGTTTCCTTCCTCTTGGACTGTCTGTCCAGTATCTTGAGGGGACTCAACAGATTCCTTACGTTTGGTGTTGTATCCTAAAGAGCAAGAGATTGGGTTTAAACCTGAGGACTTTAGTATTCTGTCACACCAATGTAACAGAGCTGGTCCTGTGGGCATTACATTGCTAGAAGTTAGAGATGAACCAAAGTCAGACTGGTCTGAAAGTACCAGGCTTGGAGGCTGTGATGACTTGCATGGCTGGAGACTGAGAGGAATGCTACTGAAATCAAAGGAGAGCGCCGGGAACCTACAAAAGGAGATCACTGGCTTATACTTTGCCATGCCGGGACCTTTCTAGCACAGCTGATAGTATGCATCAAATAGCTCTGATTCTGTGCTCTCCTGCTACCCATTCACTGGAGAAGAAGGAATGAGATTCTTTAAAAATGAACTTACAGATGTCTCAGTCTCTGTCACCGTGTATAGGTGAATGTCTCGACATGCACTTATCAAACCGGCCCAAGACTGTTCTCTGACACAGAGGCCCACTGGCATGGAATGGTATCCATCTACACCATGAAACTGTCTCAGACTCCAAAGTGGTGTTGGGAATGGACCCTGGCATAGCCAGGAGTTGTCTGGGGGAATGCAAGTTAGTATGACCCAAAAATATGCAAAGGCACATCAGTACTCGAACAGTAAAAGGACCCAAGTTTGAGTGCCTTGGAAACATTCCCTGCCGCTGTTTAACCTGCTGTTATAGACATTGCCTTTGTGTCCTCTAGGAATTTAACTCCTTGCTGAGAGAGATTTCCGGTGCTTCCACTAGTGCTCCTAGTACATGGGTTCGTGCAGTTGCAGTGAGGAGTAATCTGTGAGGCTTAGGGCTATTACTGGCCACCAGGTTCTCTGAAAGCTTTCCTAGCTTTCAGAGAAGTTGGTGGGCTTGGAAAGAAGTTGCACCAGCTAGGGCAAAGCAGAGCTTGAGCACCTCCAACATGCGTCTGTTTGCCAGACAATGTAATATCATGGGCATCATTTGTAGATAAGGAAAGTAACACAGAGAGGGAAAAGTCTGTAAACATAGATACTGTGCTTGTGAGTAAAAAAGGTCCTTCCAGAAAGCCAACTCCTAGGAAACAATTTTTATTCTCAGTCTGTGAGTCCCCCTTGTTTACCCTGGGCTGCATCAAATCCCCTCATCTAACACTTTTGCTTGGCATCTTTTGATTCCCTTAAGTCGGTAGCTGTGTTAACAGAAGTATCTCTTCACCTTTTGGCAAGATTCTTAGTCATGATACTGCCATTATATAAAACATCTCATTTCTTCCTTTCCAGTGAGGATCGAGTCATTGAACATTACAAGAAACTAAATGGTCAGACAAGAGGTCAAGCAATTGTGAAGTAAGTAAAATAAGAGTGACTTCTTGTGACCTTCATTTTATCAGGAAATATTTATACTGGACTGTAAATACAATATGTAACTATGTCTCCCATCTCATCTAATGCTTTATTTTTAAGTATTTCTGTACTTAATTAATTATTTATTTAAGCTTTTTCCCCAGATCATCCTCTCAGCTTCTCAGACATGTTATTCTCTTACGTGTTGTTTTGCAGTTACATGAGCATTGTAGAATCCCTCCCAACATATGGAGTGCATTATTATGCCGTAAAGGTACGTGCTACTAAAAGGGGTCATTTATTGAATTAAACTGTTGTTAGAGAGAGAGAGGTACAAATAACCATCCTGCTTTCAGAATACAATATATTGCTACTAAAGTCTTGCTTCACTTCCTGTGGTGGGATAAACTTATTTCAACTGTGTAGTGAATGTTTGGTAAATACAGCTCCAAAGAGGAAAATCCTGTTCTTGGAGATAAAACTCTTGGAGTCCTATTGTGCTAGAGATGTTCTGCCCACAAGCAGCTGCAAGCTCTGGTGATGCCAGTGAACCAGCACCGAAGGGACAAGCCAGCCAAATCACTGGCAGACTCAATGCTTTGCTCTTTTTTGTAGTTCCCAGAGTTCAGAATTTCCCAGCCAGCAGATCCATGAGCAACTAACTAGGGCCAGCCACGACCTGCAGACTGCAGCTCCCTTCGCTTGACATATAGATAGATGGATACAGACATAGTACATCTTTTCAATGCCAAAGCATTGTCCCATACTCTAGAGAACACATTCCTCTCCCCAAACAGCTCTCTGCTTCTAACTATGTGGATTTCATTCAGGTATTCATGAAATCCCTCATTTCTTTTGTCTGATGATTTATCATCAGATCTTCCAGTCTCGTATGATTATTATTATTACTTCCCTGCCTTACCAGCTGTGTAGTGTTGTTATTTTTTTTAAGTAGAGAAATCAATAAACATATAAAGAAAGCTGGATCCACACTCCCCAGAGCATAGTCCCCATTTATCACCCCTGAAGTTTTGATGTGTTTCATCATTATCTCTCTGTACAGATCATGGGTTTTCATATATCTGTAATGTTTTGCACACATGGGGTACCATAAAAACACAAATATCTGACAGTACCTGTCTTGGGGAGGTGCATTTCTAGTCTACTCCTGGTAACGTGCATGGTATTTTGCAAAAAGCCTCATCTTTTGCCAGAGGGCAGGATCCCTCCAGCACCCTTTGCATCCACAGATCTCTTGGTCTACTCTGGACCAAAAAAGATCTGGTGGATTGGGCTGAGTGTTCAAGCCTGCAAACACTTGACAACTTTTCCAGTGAACTCCCCACGATCAGTAAGTACCAGGGAGGAGCAATGAGGCAGCAAATATTGCACATAATAGGTTTTGCTTCTGCCTGGTGTGGGGGTTTTGGTTTTGCTGCGTTTTACCCTGCCATTCTCTATCACATTAACAGAACAGATGTAATTTCATTGAGGACTCCAGTTCAGTAAATTGCAAAGAGGCTGGTATCAGATATCAGCCATTACTCCATAAGGCCATTTTATTGCACACTCAGACACAAAGCAGTTGGATCCGAGCCTGTCAGACCTTATCACTTGGTAGCTCTCAGATCCCATTACTGCTGCATTTTCAAGATTAATGCTAAAATCCCTCCACATAATTCAAGTCAGCTGGGTGATTCGCTTTCCTTCCTCTCCAATCTCTGAGTGTTCCCTGAATAATTTGCAGGGAAGAGAAAGAGGATGCACCACTGCACAAGGGACCCACGTCAAAAGTCCCCTAGCAGCATTTTGAGTAACTTGATCACAGGTGATGCATTTTAAATGTTTTTATATGTCACAGCTAAAAGTGAAACAGATCCCTCCTAAACACCATGTGGCTTTGTGACTTGAGGGAATTCAGAGGGGGTAAATTTAACAGCACCCATGACATTCAAAGATACTGCTTAGAAACAAATCTTCACCTTGAATAACAACCTAGGAAATCTCCGGCATTTCCCCATCCCATTCAATATAACTCCCTCTCTTTTTTCTTCTAGGACAAGCAGGGCATTCCTTGGTGGTTAGGACTTAGCTACAAGGGGATTTTTCAATATGACTACCATGACAAAGTGAAACCAAGAAAGGTAAGTGTTTACTTTTCTATCAAGGTCTGGGCTTGCCGCACATGTTATAGCTTGATTTGAGGGTGTGATGTATGCAAATGCTGGCATTGATTCATGTGATTTTGAAGGATTTTGTTTCTCCCAAACGTGTCAGAATGTCTGCAAAGAATTAATGGACAAAAGTAGATCTTAATTTATGAAATGTTGTAGTACAGGGGGAAATAAGCATCACTTAATCTTGCAACTTCTTTTTTGCGTGGTTCTTAAGACATAAATGGGAACTGAAGCACTGATCCTTCCATCCCCACTGCCTGTGGCGGGATTGAGGGTGCTCAGCCAACCCTTGAGAGTGTATTGTTACACTATAAATGATCCGAGAGAGAGAGAGAAGAAGGGACAGGAAAACTTCTTCCATTTATCACAAAAAGAAAAAATCGCATGGCTTTCCCAGGAGCAGCACTACATTAGACAAGCAACAATTTTACAAACTGAAGACTTAATGTCAAGCTAACAGGAAAAGACAACTTTGATCACATGCCGAAAAAAAAAAGGCATTGAAAAGTTTGTGCCCAATATCTGATTTGTTTAGGAACTTTACTTTGAAACAGTTCACAAATCAAGGCATGGCATGCATAGATCTGATCACAAAACTAGAGCTGGTCAGTGATGACTAGCCATTCTGGTCTCTTTATTACTATATCCTGTTCATTTGGGAGGAGGAAGGTTCTGATCCCAAGCTCATCCTGCTAGGCAGACCCACATGTTCTGATTTTCCTACCTAGGATGCCCTCTAATATGAAAAAGCTTATCTCTGAGCACATGCTCTGCAGGTGGGCGTGCAGTCTGTTAGCAACAGTACTTGTTGTACTGCAAGCCCATGGAGACATCAGGAGGCAAGGGTTCGGGCTTGCTTGCAGGCTGCAGAACTGGATGATTTGGAGCAACCAGGCAGCTCTTCTATGGATGCAAATGCTTCCACACTGAATTAGCATACTGCATTTCTCTGCATTTTCTCCTTCTCATTTTGTCTCTGTGCCAAGCCCCCCCCCCCTTTTTTTTTCACCTCCCCTGATCACATTCAAGTTGGACACTGTCTGGTGCTCACAGATAGCGTCTTCTATTAAAAAAAACTAGAATCAAGGCTTTGGTAGAAAACAAAACTGCTAAGGAGGCAGCAGGAAATAATAGGTGCATTGATTAGCCTTTCATTCACTAAAGGCTATTAACGAGGCTTTTTATTCATTGAAGAAAAGGATGAGGGGAGTAAGGGGGTCTTCACAGAGCATCTGTGCTCTGCCAGACATATCTATTTGGGATCAATCATTACCTGCAGGGCAAAGCATACACTCACGTGATGGTTTAAAACATGCCTAGGCTAGGTGTTTGCACCCACATACCTCAATTAGCGCCAGCTCCCCAGGGAAGGCATGCCCTTAAAACATACCTTCAGAAGACAGTCTTAGTGATAGAAACATTTCTTTGGAGGAAAACAGTGCCCTGCAATGACAAGGACTCAGCCACTCACAAGCTATAGCAATTTTTATCAATCTGATGGGATGAGAGTGTTGGTGGAGAGCATCAGAAGAAAGAAAAAAAAGAGGTCAGGTACTCTGACTGCGTGAGAGGAGACATCCGTTTCCACTAGAAGAGTCAAGCCTCCTTTCTTAGCTTCGCTACTTCCCTTCTTCTCAGCTGCTCAGAGTGATCCGGTCTGTAGCATTAATTTTAGAGCTTGATAAGATCTTGGCCAACCTCTCTGTGTCCCCACTAACCTACCCCTAGCTTTCATGTAGCCCCTGGAATGAGGGACTGTAGACATATCCTACCCTTTTTCTGCAAGTCTAACCCTAAAAAATAGGGTGCCACTTTTCTCTTTAATGGGAATTACTATTTTTTTTTCTCTCAGCAAATTATGTACAAAATCCAGGAGACCCAAGACAATGGTGCCGCCTTATGTATAAACCACTGAGGACTTCTGTGGCTTAGCAGAAGTGGTCATAAATCTGGGAGGGAAGGTTGGGTGGGAAGGGAGAGCAGGAATTTCCGGGCTAGAATTTGTCCATTGCCATAATCCAGAGACCACAGCAGTGAAAAGACAGCCTAGATGAGCATTTCTCTGTTACATGATGCTTGCAAACCCCATCTGTTGGCAGGGCTATTCCAAAATGCACAACCTAAATCAGGGACAGGACTTGGACAAAGTGGCTGAGGCTTCATTATTTCACCATCGTGTGCTTTTATCCTCTGTAGAGCAAGCAAAAAGACTTCTTACCCTACACAGGTGGTAAAAGCCCTCTGGCAAGAGCAGCCCAACTCCCTCAGCAAGGTGCAATGTTTAATCCTCTGCTAATTAGATTGTAAAATTGCACTTGATAACCCTGGTGTCTGAGAGCTTACCATAGAATCTGATTTATTTCACTATACCAGCATGGGCCGGTTCAAGTCTTTGCTGTGCAAAAGGGAGGGGTAAACCTTACTGAACTTTCTGAAAGGTAAAATTAGGGAGGGAGGGGGAAAAAAGATTATGTCTTTTGTGATCTTTATTATTTTGTTCCTGCACATTGCCAATGCCAGGAACAAATTGAAAAATTACAATGGAAAAATAAATCTCCCTGGAAGAAACACAAGCAGAAAATTGTAGCAAGAAACCAGCTGAAACCAAGACATTTATATTAAATGCATATAAAAACCTTGCTTGTCTTGTAAGGGAGATTGTAATGTTTTCCTATTATGTCATCCTAGATAGATTCCATGCTTATTGTGTTTGCAAGTAAAACTGTAACCCACACTAAGCAGCTGAGCCTATCTCAGGCGATCCCATTAGCAGTCAGTCAAAACCACGTTTTTACTAAATTGCTGGAGTAAATCAGCCATGTGTCTCTAGAAAACTAACTAGGTTTGTCAGCAAGTTGGATGAGTCCAGAGAGGAGAATTGAGGCTGACGCATGGCCAGAACCTGATCTTGCTTGCGCTATTCTCACTCAAGCAGAAGTCCTCCAGCATTACTGGGGATGCAGCTGAGATGGGTATCTGGCACCTAGTCCAAGGTGGTTCAGACAGGAATGCAGAGCTATTAAACTGGAATGCAGCTTGCGCTGGGCTGCAGAGCCTAATGTGACTCGGTGCTTCTATTTTTATGTTCCCTCCTGCTGGTGCTTGAATTCTGTGGAAGCCCTGAAGCTACCCAAAGCCATCACTTTGAGGCTTATATCATTTTCCTTTCTGTTTTTCTCCTGTATGTTCAGGGGCTAGCTCACAGACACAGCAAGCCTTGCCAAAGGCCTCCTCTTGAATGTTGCCTGTTCAAACCCAGATTTGGTCCATACCATTATGATCTGACAGCTGTTCATTCTTAGGTATTAAATGCAAAAGTTTCAGTATACCTCACGAAATCTGTCACTGCAGCTGGACAAGAAGAAGGGTGTATCAAGTGCAGAAAGATGGCTGCTGTTGGGCTAACCATATGTTGAGGCATTCTGGAAGTTCAGTAGTGGCTTGCAGAACCAGCGTCATTTTTTGTAGCAGCAGCGCACAGCATCCAGGATGGGCAGAATCCTTCTCCCTCTGTGTTGGACTTGGCTTCTACAAACTCTTCCCTGTGAAAAGGCCCTTCAAGGCTTGGTGTGCCTTGAAAAAGCACATCAAAAGGAGTCATTCCCCTGCGGGGCTCTACCCATCTTGGGTCAGCACCATCCAATATTCATGATAAACCAAAGCAAATTCTTTGGAGCCAGGTCTTCAGATAGGATGTGCCAGCACCGCTCTCTTGCAAGCCACTAAGGCTCTAGTGACCAAAACCGTTGTTTTCAGAGAAGGGTCATTAGGGGTTTTTTTGCTTGCATTGCAGAGCAATTGGAAAGAAAGAGTAAGGCACTGCAGCTCCCCGCTACATGACTATATTATCTGTGAGTGGTGTTTGTTCCTTTTAACCAGCAGGTAGGGATCTAACTCCACTCCATCCCAAGAGACCTGTCGGTGAAGCAGAAGTGGCATAGCCTGGAGCTGTGAGACCTGCAGGCTCAAGCAGTTGTAGTGGCACTAGGCATGTCTCTGTTGTTCTAGTGAGATATTCCCATTGCTTTAAGAGCCCAAAGGCATCTTTTAGTACACACAGCTTAACAGTTAGTGAACAATTAACTCCAAGCTAAAGAGTGAGTGATTAACAAAGTCAGCCAAAGGACTTCCATACGGCAGATAAACAGAGAAATTGTTTAACTTATCACCAAAAATAAAATTACCTTAAAGGAGAGTCTTGTAGTGTTTGGTCGCTCTGCAAGAAATACGACTAGTGTTATCCCCTTTTTTTCCATAGAAGGTTAGTGGCAACAAAACTTAAGGTGAGCCTTTTTTCTCAGACTCATAAACGTTATCAGTGTTTCCATTCCCTGATTGACTGAAGAGAACCCGAGGGGAATAAAGCGTTTTGGAAACAAGATAAAATGTGAGGCATCCCAGAATTCATCTGTGAATGTAGCTTGACAAAGAATTTCCCTGTGACAGCCAAACACCAGTTTCTGCTATTTCTTCCCAGAGTTATTCTTTCTCTGAGATGAAATGAAGCATGCTATGGAAATACTCTGTCCCCTGCCATAAGGCCTCCACAATGCTCTATGGATTCTCATTACAGAAGAATTTAATTTGTAGTATTGTTGTAAATCCAAAGCATCAGCAGTGGACTGACTTCCCATTTCAACATGTAAAAACAAGAGCCGAGTTGGACCCATCCTACCGAGCAATACAAAGCAAGGTAAAATCAGTAGCTTTAAGTGCCCAATGAGAGAGAAATCACCTGCTTGTCAAAAGCATGAGCAAAGTAATGAGCACATTAATTGTGTCCAGAAAGTGAAAGACTGCTGTGTGATGTCACTTGGCCTTTTCCAAACATCAAGAGATAGAGTGAACTTTCCCAATTCCAGAGACAAAATGAGATATTTACACAGGAGAAGCAATAGCCTAATTATGGGCTGCTTTATTGCAGAGCAAATAGAGATCCTCTCTGCTTTAGGGCATAATGAAGCATT